TTTAAGGTTTGTGACTTTGGGTAAGTGTCTATTTTCATTATCAAGACTTGTTGTACATTGACCATTATAATGAATACTAAAGATTGAGTCGTGTTGTATCCATGAATACACAAACAAATTCCTTGACAGGAAATGTTGGTACCCTACTCTACATGTAAGTCTTCTTTTTTCATTGAATTCAATCTTTTAATTTTTACACACACTTCATGAAAAGGAGTCCTGTAAGTGTTGAAACTCACCATTAATGAACTGCTATAACAACAATTTCTTTAATAATGATAGGAATTAATCTTGGAAGAAGATTCTGAAACGAACAAGCTTGCACGAGAAAATGCAACAAAAATTGATGTCTACTCCTATGCCATTATCATGTACGAATTATTCTTTGAGGAAACTCCTTACTGGAATGAAGATAGTGAAAAAATTAATTACTTTCATCATTGCAATAGCGATCAAAAGAAAGTGAAAGCATTCAATCTTTTATATCAAGTTGCTAATCATGAAAAACGTCCTCTCATTCCATTCAAAGATCATGAAGAAATGAAACAGTGGTGTGAAAAATTTATGGTCCATGACAACACTTCTAATGAAGACGTGTTCATTGGAGTGGACATGTATGTGAAACTCATGCAACAATGTTGGTCCTCAAATCCCACAGAAAGACCTTCATTCGAGAGAATTATGCACAAGTTGACAGAGATTTATAATTTGGAATTTTAGAAGAAGTGTTTGCGTGCCAATACCTTCAATACCAGCTGTTCAAATATTTGTTAAAAAAAAGATAAAAAAAATTCCTTCTTTTATCATACATTCAATCGGCCATGTCCTCTTCAACGAGCAGTAGTAGTAGCGGCAACAACATGAGTAGCTACTCAAGTGCAGACAATTATTTACACCTCCTTACATCTGTAAATCCAACCGATTTCATCTGCACATCGGAACGTGCTTCTCAAATTGTAAAATTATTTTCGGAACACTATCTACCACTTCCCTTCTCCTCCAATGAAGACAAGTCTGATCTAACAGAAGAAACCACTCTAATCCTGCTTGTTCCATATTTTATTGGTTTGGCAACATTACAAATTAGGCAAGAACGAAGTCCTAATCAACCCTTCGATATGGAAGCACACAAAAGGATTCGGACTATTCAACTGAAACAAGCCAAACAGCAATTTATCCATTTTTTAAATTTAGTGGTACAATATGAACAACTGAATGATGAATATTTATCTTGGGTTCTTCCTTTCACAATGCATGATGATGACGAGGAGGAGTTACAACAAGTCAAGAAAAAACAAGACGAATTTCAAAAATTAATGAGTGACAGAAATCAAATGATACTGAGAATGAAATCAAAAACCTTTCTCGAGAATAATTTATTTTTAAATTGTGAAGCATTATCAGATATGGAAATTTCAAATTTATTGACGGAGCAAACAGATGAAATCACCAATGAACACAAGCATCAAGTTTCTGATAAAATCAAAAAAAGAATGCTTCCTATCAGAGAATACATTCAATTTTGCGTATTGGACACTATTGAACAGCTTTCATCCATCAACAGAGAAGAACAAATGCTAGCGGCTACATCACAGGCCCAACAACAACTTAACAGACCATCACAACAAGTCAATAGCAGTGGTAGTAGTGGAATTTCACACCTTAAAGCAACTTCTATCAATGATATTTTGTCCAATAGGTCACAACTTTCGCAAATGGGGTACAACATGGTACTTTTACCGAATGCCTCAAGTGATAAAGCCCAGAAGCAACACAAGCAAGGAAATAATTATTTACAACGTACTGCCGCTTCAAATTCGGCGTCACAAGGTGTGGCTAGCTCTGCATTCAGCTCATACAATACACAAAGAACAATCCGAGAGAACATGAAGGATAAGGTTTTCGGTAGCTATGTTCCACCTCCAACCATGTCCATTGAAGAATTCGCTAGACAAGAAATGGAAGAGCTACATCAAAGACATGAACGAGAAAAACTGCAAGCTCAACAACAAACCAAAAAGAAGGAAGACGACGAAACAGAAGAGGATGAAGAAGAGCTCAAGAAAAAGAGAGCATGGGATGACTGGAAAGATGATCATGTCAAAGGATCTGGTAATATGAGAGATTAAAATAACTTGTTCTATTCTGTGTGTCAACTTAATTCTCAATCTGACTTTTAGGTTCTGATTGAATAGAATATGGATCGATCCATTGAATTTCACATTTAAGCATTGGTTCGTCACAAACAAAGCACTCACTTGGGAAAGAAAGCTGAACTTCAGAGTCTTGTTGAGGGATGATACTCTCTTGTGCAACTTGCACGCTAGAAGAAACAATTGATAGAGGCTGAAAATGGTCACACGAAAAGTAAATGAGGTTGCTTGAATACGTGGAATCGTGAGTGTAATTGGAAATGAATTTAAATTCATCTCCGGTAATAATTCTGTAAGGACTAGTAAACCCAAATCTACTAGTGATAAACTTGTGAAGAATTGTGTCCTTGTTGTTGACGCCAATGTTTCCACAAAGTGTTATTCCAAGTCTTAGTTTAGGTTGCTGTTGTACTCGGGTAGCAATGTAATTTGTAAAACATTTAAATATGGCAACCAATTGGGTAAGCAAAAATTTGGTTTCCAGGTCAAAATTCTTTTCTAATTGAATCCTTTCGTCAACATCTGAAAGTGAATGCAAAGCAAAGTTAATGACCAAGACATTCAACTGATCGAACAAAATTTGCGACCGTAATCTTGTAGTCCTTCTATCCTCCAGTAACTCATGATTAAACACTTTTAACAGCTCTGCATTGTCCTTCATTTCAAACTCGGCTATGCTGCAGAGAGACGGCAGAGTATTGTTTCGAATCTTTTCTTGTTGAGTTTCACATAGCAGTTTCAGTTGTGTAATGTCAACTTCTTCATTCGAGGACTCCCCAAAATTTCTTAAAGTTTGTTGCAGTGTTTTAAAAACAGAATCATCATATTCAAGCTCAACAACTTTTGTATCTGCAAATCTGCTAAACTTGCTTCTCTTGTAAAAAATACAATTTCCAGCATTGGAGCTATCTAGAATGTGGATACATTTGAATAGCCAATTTTTGAGAGATCTAAATTCCAGTCGTTATATTCCGTGAGTGTGACATTTTGCAGAGACAGCATGTCAATATCTGACTGAATGATTTCTCTATAAATCAATCTCTTTCTATAAATTGAGTATGAAATAAAGTCCAAGTCTGGTAGTGTACGATTTTTTACGCCTCTATAATCCAACGTATAGCTTCCAACAGAAAAAACAAAATCTGGTTTGTAATATGTCAATAAAAGTCTCGTCTTTTGTCTGTAATCCAAGATATTTTCATCCATAGTCGAAATAATTGTTCTGCGTGGTATAGATGTTGGCATTTGAATTACTGGTTTTGTTATAATGTCTTTACAAAAACATTTTCCTGTCTTTAAATAAAATTCGTCATCAAATAGCACTACTCTTAACCGTAGTCTATAATTTAAATCATCACTTGTGGGAACATAGCTTAAACCATTGTACAAGGAAATGCTACTTGTTTCATCTTTTTTGTATGTTTTTGTGGGATCGCTATTTGTTTCTCGGAACCATTCAATGATACAAGTTCCCAAATTTTTAATATACAAGGTCGGAGCCATGTCTACTCCAACGATCGGTGTAGGAAATTCAAAGGATATTTTGATAATGTCTTTCTCTTCCAAGAAGGAAATGGATCGTTGCTGAAACTGTTGTGCAGAATTTGAATTGCCCATGTTGATATCGCAATTTAGTAAAAGAGATAAATTAAAATAGATGATGCGGAAATTGTTGTCAATAACAATATCGGGTTTGCCTCCTTTGAAGTAGGAGTCCAATGTACAAATGACAACTTTGTTGAATTGTTGTTTCAGAAGAGAACACCAGGTGCTACCCAGCGAGAGCAGATTTGCTGTCAATGATGTGATTATTTTTTTCAAAATTTTTATTTGAATTGTTGTTCAATAGTTTTCAAATTCCGTTATCCACCCGCATTGGAATAACATGATGCTATTCGGTCCAATTTAAACATGTTTCAAAGAGCACGTTCTCAAAGAAAATACAACATTGAGTGCAGTCCGTATGATTCTTTAAACTTTAAGCCTCAAATACGTTTATCAACTATTTAATTGGATGGCATGAGTCGTTGCGCTGTCTATCATAAATGTTGAAAACAACCAGTTCGTGGTGGAAAAGATTTTGTTGTAATAATTTTCAAAATTGTTTTTTAATTTGAAGCACAATTTGGATTGTCTAAGAAGACAATGGCTAGGGAAGCATCAGATTATTACTTGTTTTAGATCACTGTACAATATTATTTTCACTCTAGAATGTCATTCGAATGACTGTCAGATATTGTTGTTGTATTCTTGATCTTTGATACAATAATTAAATTATGAATAATGATTCTACGTTTGAAATTATTTGCTGCTATGCGTATTCATAGGTGTAACAGGAAAAGCAATATCTAGTGTTTTTGCTGGAGCGTGAGCAGGTATAGACTTTCGCTTATTCGTACCCGTGTTAGTATGTTGAGCCTTTGAAATACTGGATAAAAATTCTCCAAAGGAAGCCTTTGGTTTTTCTTTCTTGTAAAGAACGGAATCATGATGAACATCAGCTTCGTAGCCATATATTTTAGCTAATGTTTCTTCCTTCTTTTGAAGCTCCGAGAACGAGCGTCCGATGGAAGGTTGATGCGAAGTGGACGAAGAGGACATTTTTTGTTTGATTCAAATATTTATTGTTCATATTTTAAAATTAAAATTATTCATTTACAATTGGCGCAGTTAGAGCCTTTGCTGTTCATGTGATTTGCAAAATATACTTTGTCTTCATCTATGAACACAGCAATGGTCTTCTAAAGTTTCGAATTGATTTCTAACCCAGTTTGTTTGATGATCAAGGCAGATTCGAGTTCGAAATAAATATTATGCGGTAACGTGATGATAAAAATCAGAAGAAAAATGAATCCACAACATTCCCTTCCTCCATTGCCATCCAAGCCAACAACAACCACACAGCAAATCGTGAAGCAACCTCAGCAACAAATAAGACCTATAACTCCTGTTGTGGTGATCCCACAATATAACACAAGCACAACACCCATCACAGACTATTCGGGAGTACTCTTCATTGGAATGGATCGGAGATCATCATGCAGCAGAAATAATCCTATGTTGGTCATGAATGATAATTACGGAAATAATTGCAACAACAACCAGTACTGATCTATCAGCAACCACCTTCAGATTCAATCTATGGAGGAGAATCTAATAATTGTAATACTTCGGGATATATGTATAATGCCAATTCTATTCCACAACAAAATTATGTCACAACCAACAAGGGACCTCAAAACGCTTTCAACAAGAATATTTATATGAATAGCCTGAATAATGGTCAACAGCTTCATGTACCAATAGATCAACATACTGCTCCAAAAAGAAATAGTCCACATCCTTTGGACTCTAACAAGACATCTAATCCGACAACCTCATCCTCTCCCTCTGTTTTGGATCAGTATTCATCTGCAACTAACAACAATTATCAACAATCTCTCACTACAAGCCACAATAATTCACATTACTCTTCCCCAATGTCACAGTCGTCTCACGATACACAACCATTCTTGCAATCAAATATTACAACTAACAACAACTTGCCCACTGGACTTAACTCAACCATTAACAACAACTTTCAGACAGTGGATTTAAGCCAAGGTCACAAATAATATCGCATCTCAAAACAAACCCACAAAACTTCAGTTCCTAGTAGTAAGAAACCTGTTTTACACGGACAACCCAATTAACAAAATTGCTAATGTTGTTGAAGATTTTATTGACAAAATTGTTCCAGGTGACAAAGGTACCAGGGTTGACCTTACTGAGCCAAACCGGTAAAAGGTCTTTCTAACAACATGGAGAGTACAACTGCTTTTTAAAATGTTGTTATTCAAAGCTTATGGAATGCTCGACCATTCAGAGACTTGTTTTTATCTATTGACAAAGACAGTCATTTTCACAAAGATCCCCAATCTTGTGTGTTTTGTGCTTTGAAAACACTGTTTACGTCTTATGAAACGGATGCTCGCTCCGTAATTGAGCCGAACGACGTAAGAACGAGTCTCTCATTTGCTCACAACAAAGACTCTAAATTTCAGTTAAGGCGTATGGATGATGCCTCAGAAGCATTTGTAAGTTTGTTTTACCTTCTTCAAAGTTTTCCAAATAACTTTAAACAGCAAGCCATTTTGGAGGACGTCAACAATTCTCTGAAATATGATCAAATTCAATTTTTGATTTTAATGTGACTGACTTTTATGTGTGTCGTAATTGTAATTCATATTCTGAACCTCACAACTACACTACTAACAATTGGTGCATATCCAGCAGTGAATTCGTCACCAACAAAAGAAGAGATCCTAACATGTCGTTCGAGCAAGCAATTAGATCATCTGTTGAGAGTTTCCATAAAACATGTGAGAATTGCAAAGGCACCTCAGACTCTCAAAAGCACATTTTTCAAACCTTTCCAGCAGTGTGTACAATATCCTTCTCTTGGGAGGCAGATGTTATTTCAGAAGATTCAATTTTGGAATTTATGTCCTACTTCAAAATTAAGAATATTAATTTACATGACATTTTTAGATTGTACTGCAACGGAAATGATATTGAAGTGATTGGAAATGTATCATCTATTATATGCTATTATGGAAGACATTACATTGTAAGTAGTAGGTGATATCGAACTTTTGAAGCATCGAATCTGATAATACTTACGTAGTGCATTGTTTATGACAAGAAAACAAAC